TAAAAAAAAGAAACCAAATCTCAATAATATCAATTATGAACACGGCCACAACGTGCTGACAGTGTTAGGAAATTAAAACATTCTTATTGCTATAAAAATGTACGTATTCAAACAGATAAAAAAACAATTTCTTTGCTAATGTCTAATAAATTAGGATAGTTCTTTAACATTTTATAACCAAAACAGAAATCACTTGTACGAATGCTTTGAAGTGTGTATAGAAGACGGTTTGCTGCCCAAATACAGAATTAAATATATATATATATATATATATATATATATATATATATATATATATATATATATGCATAATACACACACACACAAATATATATATATATTGAACAATAAAAAAATATAAAAAATTAAAATCTTCAGACACACTGGGTTGTAGATTAATATTCTTTCGTTTTTTTATTATTATTTCATTTATATTTCTCGACTAGTTTCGGCCAAAATGGCCATCATCAGAAGAAGAAATATTTCTGCTTGCTGGTAGCAGTAAACTACAGGGGCGACAGACGATTGATGATTGCTTTTAGTGCGAAACAGTCTGTTGCCTCTGAGTGTTGTTGACTTCAATGTCCACTTTTATATTTACATACGCACTTTTTTTGATATTGAGCAATTTATCCCATAAATATAGCATACCTTAAAACTATATTCGTTCATATATATATATATATATATATATATATATGATAGAAAAAAATTATATATATATATCTTTCCGCCTTGACAATTTGCACAGTCTTTTCTTCGAAGGTACTTTATTTTACCATATTCTTATTCAATCTGCAATGTTATTGGTCCTGACCTCGCATCCCGGCTTCAGTACTTTGAAAGTTGACTGGGATGAAAGAAGCTGAGAGTTCCACAAGCAAGAAGTGTAATAGAAGAAACTGTTAGCATAGAACTTACGGCTACACCTAGCCTTTTAAACTACAAGAAGATGGGACCTTGGTGCCAAACAACTACTGCGCTTAACTTCATAAAGTCTAGTACCACAGACGATGATAAATACATATGTGTTTGTATGTGTTTACATGTTTAGGTGTGCTCGTGTCTGTATTTTTACGTGTGTTCATTTTTATGTGTGTGAGCGTGTGTAATGGATAACGGCTAGGATTGATGAATCAGAGAGCCGAGTTCGAATTCCAGTCAGATCAATTACATTCACTTACGTGGTAATACCCTTGGAAAAGGTATGTATCCTCTTCTTCTCCCCGAAGCTATGGATAAAATAACAGGGCAGACTGGATTCTATAGCTTTGGATGGCAAATGGTCTGCCGCAGAAAGAAATGGCAACCTACTGCGGGAAAAAAAACTGCCTCATCAGTCATGTATCGAAAGATACATGATCGCTTAAGATATATGTATCACGCATGGCATATAAATGACTGAGCGTGTGTTTGTGTTTGTATGTGTACGCTTGTGTGTGTGTGTATGTATGTGTGTTTATGAGTATGTATGTGTGAGCCTTTCTTTATGTGATTATATGCGCACATGTGTGTGTATTTGTGTGCCTTTATGTGCACTTGTTAGGGTTTGCATGCGCGTGTGTTTCCGTGAGTTTTTCTGCGTGTTTGTGTGTTTATATGTGTGCTTTTGTGTGTGTCTTTGCGTGAGTGCGTTTCTGTGTGCATACGTGTGTGCGCGCTTGTCCATACGAGTGTGTATAAGTGGGTTTGTATCATATGCGTTTTCCCGTATTGATAATATAGGAAATATAGAGAGATGGAGACAGGATGGGGAGAGAGAGAGGGGTATATATATATATATATATATATATATATATATATATATATATATATATATAGAGAGAGAGAGAGAGAGAGAGATAAATAAGAGGAAGAGAGGGAAGTGATATAGCAAGAGCGGAGAGAGGAGAAAAAAAGAAAGAGTGAGGGAAGAGAAGAGAGATAGAGAGAGAGAGAGAGAGGAGAGAGAAGAGAAGAAAGAGGGAGACATAGAAAGAGTGGAGAGAGAAAAGGGGAGGAAGGAGAGGAGCGAGGCGTGACAGATAATGAGAGGATAGAGAAAGAAAGAGAGAAATGACGAGAAAGAGAGAGAAAAAGAGACAGAAGAGGGAGATGAAAAAGGGAAAGAGACAAAGAGAAATAAAGAGAAACGGAAAAAAAGAGAGTGATAGAAAGAGAGAGAGAGGAGAATTAGTGAAAGAGAGAGAGTGAGAGAGAGAGTGAGAGCGAAAGATAGAAAGAGAGAGAGGAGAATTAGTGAAAGAGAGAGAGAGTGAGTGAGAGAGAGCGAAAGATAAAAAAGAGAGAGAGGAGAATTAGTGAAAAAGAGAGAGTGAGTGAGAGAGAGAGACAGAGCGAAAGATAGAAAGAGAGAGAGGAGAATTAGTGAAAGAGAGAGAGTGAGAGAGAGAGCGAAAGATAGAAAGACAGAGAAGAGAATTAGTGAAAGAGTGAGAGAGAGTGAGCGAGAGAGAGAGTGAGAGAGAGAGAGCGAAAGTTAGAAAGAGAGAGAGGAGAATTAGTGAAAGAGAGAGAGAGAGTGAGTGAGAGAGAGGAGAGGAAAGATAGAAAGAGAGAGAGGAGAATTAGTGAAAGAGAGAGAGGAGAGAGAGAGGAAAGAAAGAAGAGAAAGAGGAGAGAAGTGAAAGAGAGAGAGGAGAGAGAGAGAGCGGAAAGATAGAAAGACAGAGAAGAGAATTAGGGAAAGAGAGAGAGAGTGAGCGAGAGAGAGAATGAGAGAGAGAGAGAGAGAGCGAAAGATAGAAAGAGAGAGAGGAGAATTAGTGAAAGAGAGAGAGAGTGAGTGTGAGAGAGAGAGGGAGCGAGAGAGTGAGAGAGAGAGAGAGAGAGTAGAGAATGGAGGTATGTCTTGACGTAATTATAAAAATAGATTTTATGCAAGTGGCAGTTAAATGGGCGACAAGTGAAAACGCCCACTTGTTTAGGTTGGGAAAATCCACTTTTGAAACAATGTGCTATGAACTTCTCGATTCGAGAGATACGATGAAATATATGCAGAATGACTTCATTAAATGCTGTAGTTATGTTTCCAGTCTGCCCCCCCCCACACACACACACACACTCATGGTGGAATCTGCAGATAGTAACTAGGTTTTCAAATAAATTCCTTCGTTTTATTCCCAATGTTATTTCAATCAAACCGAAAAACATTTCTACTAGTCCAATTGCCACGTCTTACTACGTGTCAGACATTTGTTTTTTTTTGTAAGAAAATGATGATTGATTTTAAATCATTGATATAATTTGTGGAGAAAAATGATGCATTTCAATATAACTCAATGATCGTGTGACCTCCATCTTCTGGTTTTCTCCTATATTTTGGATAGGAGTCATTCCCTTGTTCAATTTTAAATTTCATTTAAATCCAAGGGAAAAAATTGCAGTAGTAGTGTGTGTGTTTATGTTTGTGTGTGTGTGTGCAAAAACAGCTTGATCTGACCCCTTTGATATGTATTTAATGCAAATATAATGATCGTTCGGGAAAGAGCGTTGAAGATGTGTTGTTCATAAACAGTAATTTGGACTTTGCTAAGCAGACGTTTTCTCTGTAGCTGAGGGGCATAGCACGTCAAATCAATTGACGGTTTCGTATAGGACACAGGTATGATTCTTGTTGGAGTTCGCAACGAAATTTCTCGAACATTCGGGCTGGTAAATATAATTAATACTATTTATTAAAAAAAAAACCCCAAAAAACACAGAGTATTTAATTAAAGAAATTGTATCTTTTAAAAATAACGTATAAACAGAAAATCTATGAAGTATTTATCCTTTTCATAAATGCATTTATCATACCCCGACGAGCAGTATATCAGTAAAACTTGTAGTGAGGAGGATGACTTTCAAAAATTTTACACACACACACAAACACACACACACACACACACACACACACACACACACACACACACATATATATATATATATATATATATATATATATATATATATATATATATATATACAAAAAAAAAATTACGTCATGTAATGTAATCGAATCGAGGGTTATAATTGGCATTAATTTGTGCCGGTCTGGAATAGACTATACCTACATAAGATATAAGATAATTTTGCTGTAATATATATATATATATATATATATATATATATATATATATATATATATATGCTCTGTCATAAGAAATACATTGAACTCTATGTGGATCAGTTTTAATAATAGTGGTATTACTAGGATACACCTGGATTATATACCAACGGATCTATTACCTGTGCTATATATATATATATATATATATATATATATATATATATATATATGAGACAAAGTGGAAAATTTATTAATAAAGCGTCTGCTCGACTAAAGCGTCTGCTGGCTTTGGCTTCCTCAGGTAAGAATGAAAGAAAGACAAAACAATGCAAAGAAAATGCCTTGGGATCTCTGAGGACAAGTGGGAACCAGACGCTCTCTACGAAACGCGTTGTTTATAAATTTTCCACTTTGTTTCATCACCTTTACTTTTGTTTTAGATACTATTATACATCTTAAGCCCACACAACACACACATACACACACACATATATATATGTAAAATAATAACATCTACACAAACAGTCACACCAGACACAAGGCCAACAGTTTGTGAGTCTTCCCCGTTTCTTTGATTATTTCTCGCACCGCTGATGAAGGACATAGGCGTGCCCCAAAATTCCGGACTTAAAACCTTAATTTCCGTGTTTCCTATACGAAGTCTGATCAAAAAGTATCAGGACGGATATAAAATTTAATTTCCTTCGAAGTAATCTCGTTTTGAAGCCACACACTTTATCCAGTGTTGTTTCCATAGATGGAAGCATTCCCGAAACTTCTTTTTTTTTTTTTCTTTTCAGATAAAGAACAGTTTCATCATCGCACTCCTTCGGATTCTCTCGATATCTTGAAATCTTGTCCCATTCAAGTGGGAATTGATTTTAAAAAGAGGAGAAAAGTCGTAAGGGACAAGATTTGGGGAATCAGATGGTTTCTGACCGGGGCAAAGAAGTCCTCGGACAAAAAAATGCAGCAAAAGCCATTGACGGAATATCTGTGGTGTCGCGAGACAACCACACGCTACACATTTTCTTTCCAAGCTGTGCTATAAACAACGGAAGTGAGCGAGAAATTCGTGACATAGTTCCGTTGATATACTAGCATTAACCTTTACTTTTTGATAAGACCTCGTATCTCCCCCACCTCTCTCTCTCTCTCTCTCGCTATATATATATATATATATATATATATATATATATATATATATATATATATATATATATATATATATACCCAAAGCGTGATGATTGACAGTCTCTCGTATTTAACGACCATTAGACCGTGTGGCTCACTGCTTTGTTTGGTTTCTATATATTATATATATATAAGTCAGTGGAGTTTTATTGGAAGTGGAGGAAAGGTGAAACCTGTTTTGCATAGATTCTTATTTAGGGCAAATGTGTTACATAATATATATATATATATATATATATATATACTGACCTTGAGTTTGTTTATTTTATTTATTATGTCATCCTGTTTCATCTATCTATCTATCTATCTATCTATCTATCTATCTATCTATATATATATATATATATATATATATATATATATATATATATATATATATATATGTATTTGAGAGTATTTCGATACATGGCATGTGACCAAATTACAAAATGATAGATAGATGATAGATAGATAGATGAATAAATAGTTTGAGATAAATCAATGTATGTCTCTCTCTCTCTCTCTCTCTCTATATATATATATATATATATATATATATATATATGTGTGTGTGTGTGTGTGTGTGTGTGTGTGTGCATTGTATGTGTATTCAGAGATAGATATATAGATTCATAAGAAAAACAGAATGACATAGCTGGATAGATATAAAAGACTACTTTGGGATAGATAAATATATGTTTATCTGCATATATATATATATATATATATATATATATATATATATATATATAGACAGATAGATAGATAGATAGATAGATAGATAGATAGACAGACAGATAAGAACAGAATGACATTGGCTGAAAGATAAGTAGAGAGATAGAGACTTAGTTATGTTTATAGCCCGAATAGTTTTCACACTGAATCAGGCGAGTTGATTTGAAGGCATTTGCTATCCCGACCCGTATTGTTATTTCTTTTTCTTTTTTTTTTATAAAGACGGCGATTCGCATTTCCAGTCTGAGAACCCCACCCACTGAGCTCAACGTCACCCCTATTAAAACTTACGGTGAAATGCCTGTCAATATGTTTACTTCGCATCAGGCCTCACGCCGAACGCATTCATTTTCTGGTTTTAATTTACAAGACTCGCTTATACGTTTACTAAACCAGTGTCACGAAAGTGAATCCTCTGGTGAGGAACGAACCCACAGTGCGAGCAGTGAGTGTTTAGCGTGTTCACTCATCGCTCTATCATAGGCGTCCTATTTGTATGGTGACTGAAGAAATAGCACAACATATTTAAATCCTTCTTTCGATTGCTGTCTCTTTTCTGAGCGTAAATTCTGTTGTTCTAAGTAGGGCAAAGCTGCAAATACTCGGTCAGTACAAATGACCTCTCCCGAAACAAAAAAAAAAAAAAAAAATGACTGAATTTACGGTTGATTTTAAATGTATTAGGCGGACTTCTTTTTCGATATTGAAAACTTCTTTTTTTTCGACACTGAAAAACAAAATTGATCGCCGTATTTAAGTATTGCATTGATATTTAAACTTAACTTTTAAATGTTCAATGATAATTCTTCTGTTGTCACTTAATTTAAAAACAGTTTGATGTACGTAGGTACAATTATTTTTTATTTCATGGGTGACTTTCGCTGGATTTCACAATTTCGATTATTTCCAAATTTATTTCCAAGTTATAAATAAAAATTTTTATCGTGCAAAAAATCAGTCGCCAAAAAATTCACGTAAAAAAATCGCCGTGAACAATCGCAGTAATAAAAAGTTGAGAGTCCAAAATTTCGGTCACATGAGTTCTTGAAAGTTAGAGTTGTGTCCCTTTAATTGAAAAAATGTGACACAGTGACACACTGGCTTTTGCATTTATAATACACACGCACACACACACACACACACACACACACACACACACACACACACATATATATATATATATATATATATATAATCGAATTAAGTCGACTCCCCATGAAAAATTATTACCTGCAGAACAACATTTCCGCCTAGAAAAAACACGATTTCAAAACCCATGTCAAATTAACTATAATTGAGAGAATAGAAAAGTTCAGAGCAGATAACATTAGAAAGATTTTAGAGTCCCATGAAAATAAGTGGATACAACGTCTAAAAACACAATAGCCAGCCGGGCTAAGCCATAAATTTAACAATATAGATAATACTAATATATAACCCTACAAATCAAAACCTACCCACATTTCTTAACCACACAAGACAGATATGCTTACGGAAGGGTTAAGGCCTCACACTTATACACACACCCACACGAACATACACACTTACACACATCATACTCACTCACTTCCTAATGAGCCAAATGATAACACACACCCACAGCAATATACACGCTTACACATATCATACTCACTCACTCTCTAAGAACCAAATAACACACACACAAACAGTTAACAGAAATACATCCCCTCTCCAGGACCAATAAAACTGTCAAACTGACCAGGGGAATTCAGAGCAGCATAGATCCATCCAGCTCTTATCTCAAATAACAACTTAAAAGAGACTGTTTGACCAACACAAGGAATGTTAAAAGATTCGTGTTAAAAAGATAAAAAAAATAAAAAAAAACAAATGAAAACTACAGACAAAAGTTCATTTTCACTATCAAGAGATTCATTTCTGTAGTTCACTGCTACCAGCAAGCAGAAATATTTCCTTCTCCTGATGATGGCCATTTTGGCCGAAACTAGTCGATGAATCTAAATGAAATGATAATAAAAAAAACAAAAAACGAAAGAATATTAATCTACAACTCAGTGTGTCTGAAGATTTTAATTTTTTAATTTTTTTTATTGTTCAATATATATATATATATATATATATATATATATATATATATAAGGTGTATAAAAGTTACTTTTATAAATTTTTGGGGCGGGTTTCTGACTCTATAACAAGGTAAAATTTATTTCCACGTCATAAAAACTGTTATCGAACAAAAAAATTCGTCGCAAAAATCCGAAGACAATCGTAGCAATGAAAACTTGTGAATCCAAAATTTCAGGATTGCGTGTCCAGATCCGACCCGGAATGTTTTTAATTTGCTCACGGAATCGGTTCGATTCCAAAATGGTACGATATGTCTACGGCCTCTAGCAGTAAAGTGGAAAAAGTGTGACACACTGACACACCGACATTAGGCTTTATTATGTAGATGACGTTCACCTTGAACGTTCACTCAAGAGCCACTCGATGTAGAACGTTATAGAGTAAAATGCACAGCTTATGCGGATATGTGCGGAAGATAATTTGAACGAGGTTTCCCAGATTAAATAGAATACAGGTTGGATTCCTTTCGAGTGGCATATTTTACTCAATACGACTTTCTTTCTCTAGGCTGCGTGCCATTAATTTCGCTGTTAAAACCAGTAAACAAGAAAACAGAGATATGTACTCAAACATGATTATCCACTAAATATAATATTTACAGTAATTAGAAGTACAAGGCCTAAGAACCACTCAAGATAGAGAGTTATATAATCAGAGTTAATGGGGCAGAGTTTTTGACAATAAATGGGTAAGATAACGATTAACCCTAGACTTGAACAGGTTAAGATTGTAGTGATCGGGGAAGCATCCTCTTGGGAGTCGGATCGTGAGAAAAAGCTGTTCGAATAGAATTTACATCTCAGCAATGGAATTCAGTGGGAATGATAGTAATTCGTTACAATGTGCGTTGCAGGGTGTGTTTTAGCCGTGAAGGTTTTACCTGGTACAACTAAAGAATTTATTTTTAACACTCACCATCCGGAGTAATTTTCTTAGTCAGAATTAAAGTCTATTCAGGAATTGCGAAACAAGTACTTTATTTTTCATTTGGAAAATGCAGAATTGTCAACGTAGTTTTCCTCTGCTTTTTCTATAAATACTTTCATGGTAATTGTTTTAATAAACTTTATTCTATGGTAGCTAGACTTCATAACATTAAACGCAGTACAGAAAGTGCAACACTGGGATCCGAAGATGCATTGGAATAGACAAAGATTGACTTCCTAAAGCTAAGCAATGTATTAAGAAACAGAAAAAAACCTTCGTTAGAAACAGAGAAAAGTGCATTGAACTGTTACGTTATATATGTCCTCCTTTAAGGCAGTGAATACTGGACAATCCCCTCAGAGGTGTTATGCAATATCAGTCCTCTTATATGGTAGTGAATGCTAAACAATCTCCTCACAGATATAGAAGAAACTTGAAGCAACAAAAATGTAGTTTTACAGAAGGATGCTGAGGATAACATGGGCTAAGTTTTAGAGAAAATGGAAACAAAAAGGAAACTGATACTTGACCTCTGGGAGAGGCAGTTGAAATTTCTAGGGCACATAATGAGGAAAGATTGCTTGGAAAATCTGACACTCAAAGGACAGATTGAAGGCAAGAGGGATAGGTGAAAACGATGCATAACATACTTAGTGAGCTTGAGTAAATGAATAACAGAAAAAGGTTTAGCAGAAATAACCGAAAGACAAAATTTTAATGAGTTGTAAAGGGCTGAAAGTTGGGGAGAGCCATGATCGCGAGGGGATACGGAATAGAAAGAAAAAGATTACATTGGCAACAAGGTCTCCTTAGTTTATTGTTGAATTGGATAGATGTAACCGCAAGTTCTATGCCAACATTTCTGCTTTCGCACTTCTTGCCTGTGGAACTCCCTTGTCTTCCGGCGAGCCAGCTTTTATCTTCAAAAATTCAAATGCAATTTTTATCGTCATCTGCTGTCTTCTTGATTACATTAGCTTATTGTTCTAGCTCCGTAATAATGTTTCTATTTGGTTTGGTTTGGTTTGTTTTACAGCATATCAAGCTAAATGGGTTATTTAATGCCGACAATATTTTTATTGTTGCTAATAATTTTTTTCCAAAAATGTATCACTGCTAATATTTTTTTAAAAATGTATCACTGCTAATATTTTTCCCCCAAATGTATCATTGCTAATATGCTTTTTCAAAAATGTATCACTGCCAATATTTTTTCCCAAAATGTATCATTGCTAATATTTTTTTTTCAAAAATGTATCATTGCCAATATTTTTTTTCAAAAATGTATCATTGCTAATATTTTTTAAAAATGTATCACTGCTAATATTTTTTTTCCAAAAATGTATCACTGCTAATATTTATTTTTTAAAAATGTATCATTGCAAATTTTTTTTTTCAAAAATGTATCATTGCTAATATTATTTTCAAAAATATATCATTGCTAATATTTTTTTTCAAAAATGTATCACTTCTAATATTTTTTAAAATGTATCAATGCTAATATTTTTTTCCCAAAATGTATCATTGCTAATATTTTTTTCAAAAATGTATCACTGCTAATATTTTTAAAAAAATGTATCACTGCTAATATTTTTTAAAAAAATGTATCACTGCTAATATTTTTTCCAAAAATGTATCACTGCTAATATTTTTTTTTTCAAAAATGTATCACTCTTAATATTTTTTTTTCCAAAAACGTATTGCTGGTAATAATTTTTTTTAAAAAATGTATCACTGCTAATATTTTTTTTCCAAAAATGTATTGCTGGTAATAATTTTTTCTTAAAATTTTTAGTGCGGGTAATAATCTTTTACAAAAATGTATTGCTGGTACTAAAACCTGTTTTTACACTTTCCTTGTGTTTTTGACCCCAGTTTGGGGGTCAACTAATTTCCTAAATCTAAGACCCTAACAGGTGGTACCAGTGAACCTGGGAACACCAGCAATTAAGTTCTACGCTACTCAAAACCTCCTGATCAGAGGGCTTGCAGTTGGATGTAGCTTATCGTCTTACCCAGGACGCGGATGTAGTTTATCGTCACACCCAACGCGAAATAATGTTTCTTTGTTTCTTATCCTTTCACACTCAGTAACCCCTTTGTATCTTAGTGGCTTTACTGCCTTGCATAGGGTGAATTGATAAAAAACAATCTACTGTTTTATCCCTAATACATAAGTGCACCACATATAATTAAGTGG